ATAAACTCCTAATACTTAGTACAGACTCTGGTATAACGAATCAACTGTGACATGTAAGCTCCTAATACTTAAAACAAAGTCTGGTATAACGAATCAACTGTGACATGTACACGCCTGACACTTAGAACAGACTCTGGGTATAACGAATCAACTGTGACATGTACACGCCTGACACTTAGAACAGACTCTGGGTATAACGAATCAACTGTGACATGTACACGCCTGACACTTAGAACAGACTCTGGGTATAACGAATCAACTGTGACATGTACACGCCTGACACTTAGAACAGACTCTGGGTATAACGAATCAACTGTGACATGTAAGCTCCTAATACTTAGAACAGACTCTGGTATAACGAATCAACTGTGACATGCAAACTCGTGATAGTTAGAACAAAGTCTGGTATAACGAATCAACTGTGACATGTAAGCTCCTAATACTTAGAACAAAGTCTGGTATAACGAATCAACTGTGACATGTACAGGCCTGATACTTAGTACAGACTCTGGTATAACGAATCAACTGTGACATATAAACTCCTGATCCATAGTACAGACTCTGGTATAAGGAATCAATATATCGGTTGTACGTCAAACCAAGATTTTTTTATGTCGCAGTTGATTCGAACTTGCTCCAAATATCATGACGTCTGTGATAAATGTCGACTGCTGACGGACACACTACACTACGGAGAAGTTGTATGATAGCATAGGGAAATCTGCTTTGTTTTGTGATATATGAAGGTCAATGTTTTCGATTATGACCTTGGATGTGTGCCTTGTTTTGTTTTTGCTACCCCTGTTCTGGCTATTTTGACGTGACCTTACTTGGATGTCACCAATATATTAAGGTGTACATGGCGGGGTCGCCATTAAGTAGAAAACGTTTACCCTTCCAAAACATCTAGTATTCTTCTTCTTGTATTTTTGGAAACAAAACGAACAAAAACGTTCATTAAGGGGTGTCTGGGGCCTGTTATAACGACCAGTCTCAATCTTAAGAGGAGCATTACCACATCGCAGCATCGTCAGAACGCTCCGGTAACATCTAGACATGTACTGTGTTACAAAATGTTCAGGTTTTAGGTCCTTTTTTAATTTCCTGTAAGTCCGTAGTTTGTTTCCGTTGACAAGCCCACGATCATTCCAGAGTTGACCAAACCATTCACTTTCGTCCTGATGCTTGACGAAGAATGCTCTGATGGCGTATTGGCCAATCGCCCGAAACTATCAACATGGTCATAGTGACAAATTTTCTATGGGTAATATGAGCACCTAGATCGGAATGTATAGATATAGGTTTATTGATAAATGACATAAAAACACAAAAGCACACTTCACAAGTTTGTATATTTCATTTGCAATAAATACGCCAGAGTGAACCTATTACAACAACAGCTGTTTCCATTTTCTCTCTCTAAAATAGAACTTCATAGCTAGTTTGCCTTGATTTATAGTAATGTGTAGATATAACTGGAGCATGTGCTCAGAATTTATGTAAATATATAATAATATATCTGATATTGTTTCTCTGAAAATACGAAATTCTAACTGCCATACTTCATAGTCATATACTTACAAATTGTTGGTGTTTGTTCTGTACATTAAACTACTAACTGAAAACAACTGCCATTAGACCATGAATACACTATGAATACAACGATTCTCGTGCAACCAGTCAGCTGATTTCACACACTATGACAACTTCATATTACTATGCATGTACCGTTTCTGAAAAGAGTTATCTCCTCTTCTCCAAGATATTTTTTATTTTAATTTTAAATTAAAAACAATTTATATTTATAACATTGTCATATAAAATACTGATTTCCGACTCGCAACCGGTTCCTCGTGGTCACGAACTTTCGAACACCAAAACGTTCGGCTGGGTAATCCCCGAGACATCTACTTGCACATGAAACCCAGAGAACTTTGTAATGACACAGGGCACTTCATCCATCAACTTATCATCATTTACATCTGCAGGTTTTTTGGCAAACAGGATATTCAACGGCTGTCCATTTAACTTCAAAGAGCTTTATGCCTACTGCCGACGGGTGTCCTGGATGGTTATTTTTGTGACCGGTGATTTGAAATAGTGCAGACATAAACTTTATCAAATATATAATATGCGATTTTTCAAGCAAAAATACATCAAATGATATCAACTTTCAAAAATGAAACGAATATCAAGTGTTGGTTATCATTAGATTCTAGACATATATTTTCGTTTCAACCAAATCTGAAGTTTGTATGTAGACTAGAGTTCTGGCTGTTCTTTTTTTTTATGGTTTTCAGTCCGATACTAATATCAAAAATATTAAATTTATAAAAAGTGTTGTACTTATTTATTGTAGTACATCGTAACGTAATTATATGGATTGAATGGATTTTTTTTCTCAAGTACATAGCAGCAATGAATAGCAGTAGCTGATATACATATCTTCTGAGGATATGTAGATCAGCTACTGCTATTCCTTGCCGCAATGTACATGAAAAAAATCCATTAAATCCCTATATTTTTACGGTCTCGTTGCATACACTAAAACGAAATCCGAAACGTTTCTCAATGCAAACACAAACATCCAGTCAGTATTCGAAACCCCGTCATATTTCCCAAGTATTTTGAGGAAAGATTTTTATTCGGTAAGCCAACCACATAACCTTTATTTTTGGTTATTCTCCTGACGTCCTTTCTTTTGACCTTTTCCTAACTTTCTCATTTTATTTTTGCCCCTTTGAGTGCCCATTCCAAATCTGTACAGATGTCCCTCCCCCATGGATGAGCTTTTACTCTTGTGTTTTGTATTATTGTTATGTTCTTTACGGTTCACAAAGATAAATGAAACAGGTTAAACGAGCTGACATCAAACAAACAAGACCAAGAACCTGCAGCAAAACTCCTGGACACCAGATCTTTTAATAGAAATCACTTACTGACAGTTGAAAAACTACCAGGGAGCGGATCCAGCATACTTTTTTGAATTTATTCTTCAGATATTAATGGCATTACTTTTATCGTTCAAACTATTGTGTTCACGCTCATATCCTCACTCCATAAGTGTAAGCATGCACAAAGGTGTACCTTTTTACTGCATGTTCAAATGTCAACAATTTGGCAATAACGTCATCTTCTTTTGAGAGAAAGGATACAGTACATGATTAACATAAAGCAGCATTTTTATAAATACTTTATTCGATAATACACTTTCAGATAAAATAACTGTCTTCTGGAGTAAAGTGTCAATCATAATCCCTTTAAAAATATAATACATAAAATGTTAATATATGGTTTAGGATACTTGTCAAAGAAGTTGTTACCTCTCGAATCTCCTACAATGACACTCTTCGCCATAAAGCTAGTTTTCTGCTTGTTATCACATATGTGTTTTAAACGGATGGAATATATATCTGGTGTTCAATAGGAACACTGTTTTCTTTTTATTACATTATTTTAAAATAACGAGACACAACTATTGCTTCATCAGAAAAGTGCGTGAATTTGTAGCGTATTATTTGACGCCATCTTTCAATGACGTCACGCTTGACAACAATGCTGAGCGCAATGTTGAATGGGGATTTCAATGCAATTTTGCCGTTTGCTGCTGTTATCTTATAACATTTCCAAACACAAATTATATCAATGGTATAGTTATGTAAATAGTATATTATTTGTTACAAAAGTGAAATAAAAACAGCCACTTATTTGCCGTCGCTTCTTCTGAACTTGAAACTAAAAATCTTTCCAGTGAAGTACCAAGAGTGGTATCTTCATTTTTAAGATATTGACTTCAGTGAAGATAAACGAGTTTTGTGCGCGTTCGTTTCGTTTGTTTCCTACTCTGTAATTGTAGCGTCCAAGTGGTCAGTCTTTAAGGTATTACGTCATGTAGTTTCTGTTATTTCATTGGTTGTTTCCATTGGGCGAGTTGGTGGGATATTCTTTGCATAAATAAGTCAGTGTCAGACATATTCTTGTGACTGGGCGGACCTGACCAATTTATATGTAAGTGTTTTACTTCTAATATTCTCTACCTGCACTTCTTTTCTTATAGATATAACCAATATTGAATGTAGGTTTTGTTACATTTCTTAAGGATTTATTAGTAAAGAGCTAATATAAAACGAGGGTAAAAAAGGTCTCGTTATGCAGGAACCTGTCTAGCTACAGTTGCTTTATATCAGTTACTCATTATGATAACTGCTTTTTTATTAATTCATTTCATAAACTATAAAATTATGAAAAATCTACTTGTGTATAAGTCATGGTTCTATGTGTGTAATTGCGAGAAAGTATAGAAGGGTTTTGTTTTGTTTTTAGTATCGTAACGTACTGTACCTATACCGGTAGACGTGCGTGCGTCATGCACGGTTGCGCTCCGTAGCTGGCCAGGGATCTCAAGTATGACTACCCTGTATCTGAAATATTGTAGAATTAAATATATATGAAATGTAAAGATAACTGTTTTGTTTTTGTTTTTTGTTTTTGTTTTTGTTTTTTGTTTTTTACTTATAACTGTTATTGTAGATCTTCGTAATTGTAATAGCGTAACGTATTGTTCCGATTACTTTGTCCTTGCAAGAGTTATCTCCCTTTGTGCATGTGAGTTGTGAATGTATGGTTAGCTTGACAGTGTATTTATGTTTGCTTTATTATTTGTTACAGAGTTGAATTGAATGTCCAACTGGAATAAATAAGACTAACTAAAGTCTGTGGTCTTGTGATATTTATAGAAGGAAATAAGCCACTATTACATTTGTCCAGGTACTAAACATTTAAGGGTCATCTTTTAAAACACCATAGTTTACATGCGCTTTACTTGTCATAGATCTTTACACATAATATGTGTGCCGGTATTTTAACAACAATATAGACATAATTAAACGGCAGTTAAGCAAAGGTAATTTCTCCGCAAACTGAAATACCACGCTAAATTTAAAACTTGTACGAACGAAATATATCTAGGAGGCGGATGGTTTCATCTATGATATCGTTGACCTAGTATTTAGTCTTGTTTGGAATAAAAAAAACCAAGGATATGTAAAAAAAAATTATCACATAATATATGATTCAATAAGGTAAACGTAACGTAACGCGTGGTCTTTACGGTCGTGAATATCCATTTCATTAACTCGCTCCGCGTCACCAGTAAGCGTGTATGCTCCGCGTCACCAGTAAGCGTGTATTTGCAACCAAAAAACCTACTGACAAACATAGACCCACTTTACGATTACATAAATGTTATCCTTTAAATGTCAACAAAATTTTAAAACAAATATGGCGAATATGATAAAATACTTGTAGTTCTGGTTGGATAGAATAAGCAATATAGTTATTTGGAACACGAAGCGTTTTGTATAAATATTTGTCCGTATTTAAGAGCATACCGTGTAACTCGTGAATATAATTTAAGGATGTGTTCGTTCTAATTCATTAATGTTAGCGTTATTTCTTGATCGTGTGTTTTCCCAGGGACAGTATATAGACTCCATTATACGTCCCTGGTTTTCCTGATCTAGAAATAATTTCCCTGAGGGAGGTACAGTGCAGGCTATACATGTTTTAGACAGTCACTGTGCCTGTGCAATAATCAAGTATATAACGTGTTACTAAGGGTGTACATTTTCATGTCTACTGTATATGTTCAACTGGCGTCTTTATCTGCGGTGTAGGACGGATTATCTCGGTACGCTAACTCGACCTCCTTACTGTCGATCATGTGTCCGTCGCCATGACAACAGATAGCCCGACGTAGTCTGTAAATACCATAACACACACAATGGACTAACGGCATGGCGACAAAGATGACGGCGATAGAAATACCCACGGTGAACCCAGTGCTACCCTTCCAATCCAGAACCGAATAGACATAGTTCTTGTTTGCTTCGTTGGTGCCGCCCCCTAGCGTGTAGAAAAGAGAGAACAGCACGTACACAAAGGCGTACACCATCGAATGCCAAAAGTGTAGGATCCTGACGGGAAGACCGGTGACGAACAGGTTCAGAATGACGTAGACGGCATTCAGGGCGTGCGTCTCAATGTTTACGGCAGTCATATTCTCTGAACCTACGGTAGTAGAAAATTAACATAATGTTAAAAACACAATGTATATCATTCATATGCACAGTTCATCATATTGACTTGTGCTATTGTCACACACCTTACTAGACTGTTACAATGTTTACATCAATAGAAAAAGAATCAAAAAGAAAATCCCTCAAAAATCTGTACGTTTTATTACTACAGTGAGAATGAGATGACGTTACCAATTCAGCTAAACTAAACGAACCCATACACGTTTACTGCTTCATTTTGAATGCAGCATTTGCGTAGTATTTTCGAAGCACTCATAGCGAACGTGTCCGGGTCTACATGCATTTTTCTCAGTATATATTAGCTTTGCATATATTTGTAGAAATCCATGTATTTTGTGTACTCGCTACTTACTGCTGTAGAGGAGGCCCCAGTAGAGGAGGGTCACGGTGATGCCGCTAGTATTGGCAACGTTTAGAACTACCCAGTTGAATTTGAAGTACCACGGATTGGTGTCGGTCAACCCTGTAAAGCAGGACAAGAGAGTAACGAAGTGCAAGTCTAGCGCAAAAATAATAACAAACGAAGTATTTACACGGAGGCCATTGTTAAAGTACAAGAATAAGACCAGGTGTTGCGGAAGGGTAAGTGTCTTCCGCTTCATCGACGACATCCGCGATGTCTTTCTAGTTTAAATCAAAACAACCTCACATTTTCTTTAAGTTTGAACCGGGTAACTTATCTTTTTTATTTAAAATATCGTATTGCCAATACAATTAGTAATGGGATAGGACACAAGTTGAACAACTTATAAGAAGTCCTTTTCCTACAATCTTTAGTGACTACGTAACAAGACGACACACTTATGATAAAACGAGGTGATAAACATATCACACAAGGTTATAGAATATTTCGCAATAAGACCCCTCATTAACTAACGTGACTGGAAACTTGTTATGCGAACAGGAAATACGTCAGGGTTTTCAGATAATAATAAAGTTATATTATAATTGTTAGATGGTTGGTCTGCTGACCGGTTTATTCGTTTTGTCATTGAGGAGAGAAATAGACTTGTCTGTTTTAATTTTGGATTGCAAGCTGCTAAATCTGTTAAAATTGACGGTCCTAATAGATTTAATTCCCGTAAAAGTGAATCCAGTCATTCATGATTATTTTTGTTCTATCGTCCGGCGAAGTCTTCATTACAATCCAACAACAGATGGAAGAAGTCTATTGAGACTCTTCAACACAATCCTAC